GCCAGGAACGAGAGTGCGGTGAGAAATAAGGATCGGCGCTAGAAAACATCCCTACTCTCTAAACTTACTACTATAGTAGAAGCTGAAATCAGTATTTTTTTTCTCTTGAGAACATTAGATCTAAAAGAAGAATAAACAGCAGACAACGCATGACAACTCTAAGCAAAACAGCTCTGTACTCACCTAGAGCAAAAGACCAGCGCAGGGAAAAGAGGCAGCAAGTAATAAGCAGAGATGAATTTCATACTGTGGCTTGTGTGTTGTGTTTCTGCTTCTCACTAGCCTCTTCACACCGTCTCTTCCTCCCTCTCTCTGTCTCTCTCCTGCTCCGTCTCTTCCCCCCAGTGGCTTCCAATTGCCCAAGCCTCGCCTGGGAAGCTGCCTGCTCGGGTGTGCGGGGGTCCGTGGCTCTGTAAGAGCAGACAGACCAACAAGACGGCTAATGAAGGGAGCTTAGAGTGGGATTTGAGCTTCAGGAGTGATGTCACTAGGCAGCGGAGCTGCTGCTGCTGCAAGCCTACAGCCCGATCGCCTGTGATTATTCAACACAGTGACTCTATTGATGTCCTGATGGGTTTGTTACAACTAGCCGTGTAAGCGGCACCCAGGGAGGTGAGAGAACACTGGGGTCGGCACTTCGCTCTGAGCTTACAGGAGAGCATACTGGACACACTCCTCTGCCAAACAAAGATAAAACTGCCCAAATAACACACACCAGTATTCTGTAGTTAGAGTCATTCTATTTGGTTGGAGGAAATCTGTACAAGATGCCTTGTCAGGATCCTTGCCAAGAGGCAGGATCTTAGTATTTTTGTTCCAAGTACATGTCAAGTTGCAAATCAGCCTGACACATGAGATCTGGGAAAGGTATTATTTCTGCAAAGCAGGAATTCAAAAGTTACTGTTTCAATCAGATATTCATACTATCCAGTACCACATCAAGTTGAAGATAAAAGCAGAAATAGCTTCCAAAATGGTATTTTTAAACACTGATGTCATCTCTACAAACCCTTAACCACCAGAAGCAATTCATAAGACCTTCAGGGCAAGTTAAGATTTTCTTTTTCCCTGCTTTTCAGGTTTATATTTTGTCTGATCTTAATCTTGATTTCATTAAAACAGTGGTTGTTAGAGATGCTTTCAGCATCTAAGCATTCCCAACTTAGTCACAAGTGAAGTTCATCTGGTTATGAATGAAGTTTTGCTTTTTTCTAAACTTCAGTCAGAAATTAAACCCAGAAGTGACTTGATACGCAAGAAGCATACACAAGTGCAGGTAAGATAATATATTCTTTCTAACCTATGAAAGTACCTCTTTTTAAACAAGAAGTATCCTTGTATGTAATATGTTTTATATATATATATGTATATATAAAGAAACTTTCTCTACAAATGCATTAGGCATAATCATTACAAGAGAAGGTTTTAGCAGCAGGCTTAACTGATCATGTGAAAGGAACCCACAAGTTACAATGCACATCCCATGCATAAAAGAAGTTTTGATAGTTTGGCCAACGTATCGTTGCATTGAGTTGTCTTCTGAGGATTAATACTGGATTCCATCAATGCAAACAGTGCATTCACTGTTCGCAATGAACAGAAACCTTTTTGAATATAGCACTGACCCTTAATAAGGCATTCAGATGGCATACAAATAGAAATAATAAATTAAATCATACTTTGTTCAATGATAAAGTGAGATGGAGGAAAAGCACAAAAAAGAAAGGCAACATACATAGCCAAGAACAAATAAATTAATGCATTTATGAATCCTTGTCCTTATGTCCCTACTACAGCTTTTTTTTCAGTACACCTGGAAGCAAATTCCATTCAACCACATTAACTTAAATCAGCATTTCCTGTTATTTTGATGCTACATACCAGCATGAAAGAAACAGTCATGTTACCATGGATACTTATGATAGAATAGTAAAAAGGTCGTAAAAAGTGCAGTCAGCTTGTCATTTTCTCATCCATAAAAAGCCAACCTTTCTAGGCTATGTCTTGGCCATATGTCAAGCTAATACTTCTCCCATCTTTACTTTATATACACACATGTAGATAAAATAAAAATAAAATGAAGTAGGCTCTGGTGCAGAGGAGCAAACCATACCCAATTTGCTCAGTGAGTTTAAGAAAACTCAGACTTCTAGAAGTTGAGGAATTATTTTTGAATTTTATTTCTGTTCTGCTGCTTTTGGGGGAATCAGAGGGTGGGAAAGGGGTTCTACTGCTAAGTCCTGGTTTCTTCTCAAAGTTTTCACCAGGCTTTCATAGGAAAGCACAACTCCTCAGGAGGCTTAGCGAGTTCGGTGCAGGTCGTCTGCAACCAGAATAGCGATATATCACACGGACACCACGTCACCATTCCTTGTATAATTTCTCCTTTCTGATCAGAACTGACTGAACATGGCAACCTCTTGTGCTTTCCGACACTGCTACCTTAGTTATGCTCAGATCTGAGTACCCTATGAAGACTGTCTCAGTGTATGGGCTCCACAAGGGCTCAGCGCAAAAGGGTTGGCAGCAAGACCCCCTCCCCTCATGACTGGAAATATGAAAATGGGGGGGAGGGGAGAAGTGTCTCAAACCACTTGACAAGGCCTGCGCACAGCCAGGCCATTAGGACACCGCAGAAGTGGCTAATCCAGGATTGAAGCAAGTGCAACCCTAAAGGTTAAGATATGCACAGACAAAATTGTGTTACTGTAGAGAGAAGCATTCAGCCGTAAATGCAGGTAGGGCAAACAAGAAAAATCTGCATTTTTTAGAGGCAAAATTCTACTATAATGTATCTGACTGACACTTCTTTTAAATGCTACTATTGTTAGATTTGGTTATGCTCAAGCTCTTTACCTGAAGACGTAAAAAGGCATCCTCCTTCTCCAACACAAGTAATTCAGCTTGATTTTGAGCCTTCTATTCCTTTTTTTTTTTTAAAAGGAAAAGATGCACGTTAATAGCAGTGATGTGAATCTTGAGAAAAGAAGCATCTATTAATACCAAAGAGGGAACTGTTTTTAGATTTTGCTAGACTCGCACAGAATAGTCTATTTGTTTAGTGTTGAGTACACTGAAAGCAAGATCAAACATTTATGTATAATAACTTAAAAGACCTCAGATAGAAATATTTCTATATGAAGACCTCAGACATGCAGAACTCTTAAATATGTTATTTTCACTCCTGTAATTAATGGTTTCCCTTTCCTGGTTGAAATTTATTCATAGTCTCATTAAAAAATTACTGCTAGTTTAGCATGTTCTTTTAGAAAGAACTGCATGGTATAAATATAAATAAGGAGAAAACAATGGAACTGTTACTACACAACTCAAAGGAAAAGCTACTATTTTATTTTTGAAATGCCAAAAGACACAAGTCTCGTAAATAAACTGATAGTGCGAGTATACCATTGCCTGCTTTGGAGAGGAAAATGATTCTACTGAGCCTCTTTGTGAAATATGGCACAAGCTTATGCTTGTCACCACAGGACATGCATTTATGCCTGCGTTTACATAGTAACTGCTAAAGGACAGTCCCAATTTTGATTTCTTTGGAAATAATGGTAACAAAGAAGGAATCATGAAATGACGTATACGAGATTCACTTATTTCAAAAGCACATGTGCTAGTAGAGAGGAGTTGCTGTAAACATACTTACAAAGCAAACCATTGACTTGCTACAGAGTACTAAAATTATACATGTTGAAAGTGCTTCACAAGACTTTGTGCAAAACACTTTCAGAAGAATAAAGCAAAACACTTGATAAACATATCATGCGCTACATTTCAGGGTGCTTTACAAAGACAGTTGATTACTTTGCTACTTGTGAAAAAGACAAACTGAGGCAAAGCTCTGGACGGAACTTAACTACCCTGATTTCACGTCCAGTGCTCTATGAAGTAGGCTACATTGCCCTAAAAATATATCAACATTGCAGTGCAGAGAATGCTATAGTATATATACATACACACACCCATACACAATATACACACGCTTTTGTTGACCTTTAGCACCATTATAGATAACTAGAATGGTAACCTGATACCTTATTGCACCTCTGTACAACATATTACATTTCAATATCTTAAATGGACAAGACACATTGAGTTCCCAAGTAAGTAATAATATAACCTCTGAAATAAAGGAATGATAAGTGGCATCTTAAATAACAGAGGAGATACAAAGCCACAGACATTGGTACTCTTTTCTTAAGTATAATTGTTATGAGTTGGTTAACACACATTGTAGACCTCGGGTATACGAGGTGCCAGCAAGGGTCATTCTGGGAGGGCAGTACTAGTTAGGCAGCAGCAGAAGGGACAAGCAACTTGCAGGAGCCCCTTCTTTTCTTTGCAGAAGGCTGAAAAACTGAAATTGGGTCTCTTCATTCCTTTACACCCTCCACTACCTTATCAAAAGTTTGGCTAATGTTGCCACTAGTAGACTACTTCCTCTCTGCCTCTTGTGTCATTAGTTCCTAAACCAGGTACGCTTTTAATGTTTTTGAAAAAAATCACAGGAGTGCTAAACTTAACATACAAGTGATCCAGCAGCCTGCTTATAAGAAGTGTAAGGATAGAAAAACAGGAGCTGGTAAACTCAAATCAGTCTGAAAGAGTTTAAAAAAAGTTTTATTCACAAAATCCTAAATAGACAAAAGAATTACAAAGATGTATAAAATATAGGTGACGGAAGCAAAGTTCTGCTTAAGCAATCTTCACTACAATGAAATCCAAAAGGTCTTTCTTTCATGGGGATTCAGCTACCAGGATGGGAACACCTTACTCAGTCTACAAAGGGATGTGGAGGGTCTTCTCATATAATGGTAGAGTTCAGTGTGAAGCATAGTCTAAGAAAATTCCATCTTACTTTTTAAATTCCGTCTCCCTTCTTTGGGTACCAGTCATGTTTCTCTCTTTCCCCTCAAAGAAAGATTTAACTTTAACCTCAGAAATAGATACAGCATTCCTTCTCCTACTTTTTC